GAGCAATATGAGATGATAGAGATTGCGTCCAAATGCGACTCTTTTGCCTACGCTTGTTAGAATAAAGTGGTCACCTTTTAGGCTCAGCCTCGTACTTTGCCTGCTTTACCCTCAACTATCAACTAACCTGCACTTGAAAGTTATTATAATTATTGGCTTCGTGTCTTTCCTGCATCTCAGTGAACCAAAACTTGTGGACGAATACAGTTAGAAGCATGGGATCCCACGTGTTTTGCGCAAGCAATCTGCACGATGAAACTGAATTTTTTCAAAGCACTTTGCTGTAATTCACGGGACAAAATCCATTCTAATTCGCTAAAAATGATGAGAAAACGGCAAATGCTTCCCCTTTACAGCAGTGATGTCGAGTAGCCCTGGGATGCGGCCTCTGGAAAGTGCCTGTAAGTAGCCGTAGCAGTTGTTGTGTCCATTAATTTGTTCCCTTTTAGGCACAATGATGGAAGAATGGATCCTTTGTGGTGCTTTTGGAATCCAGTCAACCAGGTTAGCATTTGGGCGTTTGATGCAAACCTACGAGAGTCAGCAGGCACCATCTGACTTACTACAGTGAGGAAATTCGGATTTGAAAACACCCAGTTCATAAGGTGAATTTTCCACTTGTTTACCACCTTTGTAGCATTTCGCCTAGGCATTTTATCACACCTACTTTGAATTGCAGTGTGAGGTGTCATAGAACACCTATTTGCTACAAGGAGACCAGTACTGCAGTGGTTCTTGCAGGGTACTCAAACCTCTCTCACTTGCATAGCTAACATCACAGGCATTCTTTTGGTAATGGGCAAAACTGCAGACTACTAAGGGGTCTGTATAAGTAGGCAGACATTTCGAGGACCTCTGCTGAAGTGCTATGGAGGAAACGAGACTGAATGTACATTTTGTGCCTACTAATATAAATTCAGCATCCATCATATTGGCCACATGAACGAATTCCTTCGTCTCCCTTCCATAACAGGTGGCATAATGGTTGAAGACGTCCACATATAATGCTTTCACCTCTCTCCGCCTAAACTAGAACCCCTTGATGCCGACCTGAGCACGTTTGTCTTCTGCGGCAACACCCACAATTAGTGCAAGTCTTCTGCACCTTACACCAATGCCTTCAATGAAACTAAAATAAATTGCTTTGCCTACTCTTCTTTATTCTTGTGGATGTATTCACCTGCAAGTAAGAATGCGACACAGTGCTCGTGAGACTGCTCTTAAGCCAGAGTATTGAACTCGGCGTGTGTCAACGCTTTTACTTAGTAAGGAGGCACTAACGGCGATAGCTGTACCCACCCAAAAATTTACTTAAGCCTTTTTCCTTTCCCAGCCACCGACTTGGGTTGATTTTTTCAACCCTTCCTATAAAAACCTATACTTCACCAGAGCCAAGTTTGACATTGCTTCACATTACAGGTAAAAGTACACGAGACTCGTTAGAATGGCAAAAGACGCACAGCCGCTTGCCTTCCACACGCAAAAATGACGTCAAGTTAAAATTCTCATTGCACAATCAACTTCCTTCCCGATTTCAAAGTAATCTTAATGGTAAATGCTTGTATTTAGGCACGCTAAAGCCAACTGTAAATGGTCTGTGGAACACCCCACTTTATTCACTGTCCATTTTAGGAATGCGCTTTCCAATTATTTTTGGCAGAATAATCGTGAGTAGAATGTCGGCACCAAATAACTAAGTGCAGTCATAATGCTTTACATTAATGGCCTACCTATAGCTGATTGCTACACTGGAAGCGCGTGGTTGAGTGGCAGCTTCAAGTCCACCTCGGTGGTGTCAACAGCGCATGCCACTTGAATGCACAGCAGGGGACGAAATCCCGGTAGTAATCAAGTGCGTTGCAACTGGTGAGCTGCTCTATCCAAAATAGAGTGGGTAATGGAACCGCTACATATGCTTGATCTTTCCTATGATCTATTACTGCTAGTGTTGATGAGGAAATGAAATAAACTTTCGAGTCCTAAGTGTACGTTATTCGCTTTGTAAGAGGCAAATAAACAGCAAATCAACGTGTACCCCTCCGATGGCTTTAGATACTGAGTGCAAGTATTCTGGACTAGCAGACAACTTCGACATTTGAATTACATTTAGGTGATCAGAGTGCTTTCAACTTATAATGGCTACCCATTACTGGGATTACGCGATAACAACAGGAGAGAGGACAGCACAGAGACTCACGAAGTGCTTAGTGTTGACTTTGTACCTTGGTACATGCCGTAGCTTCCGGAGACTTCCCTGAAGAAGCAAGGAGGTATAATGCTCCTGAAGAATGCGCATTGTCAACCAGCAGGTAGACTTGGTGTTACTAGCATGGGCCGTAGGTCCAGGCCGTTCGACGAAGCCAAAATGGCGAAGCCTCTGTGCAGTTCGTTTTCAAAACTTTCTATTAAGCATGGGTTTTACGTATTTGAGGCTTGAAGCCACCATTTGACTCGAGTCAGTAGAGATCAAAGGTGGTCCCTCAAAATTTGGAATGGTCAAGTATTTCAGAAACGGGAAGATAGCGGAGTTTGCATTACTGAATAGAATGGACACAAAGTAAATTAGAATGCTGCCCTGTTTTAATCTTTGTGGCCGCCCACTCCACCTACTGGGCTTGTACTCTGTGCTTATTGCGCCACTGAATCCTTTTATCTAAGCTTGATTAGGGTGATGCAAACGTGAGTACAATTGAATTCCACGTGGGGGATTTTCAATGTTACGTTACGTGCTTGTGTTATGCTCCAAGAGAAGGAGGAATTCGTAGCATATGACACAAAGTCCTGCCCTACTTTTCTCCAAGGGAGATGAAGGGAGTGTGTTTCATCAAGCTCCAATGCATTTACTGCTTGTATAACCCCTCGTTTCACTGGCGTGATGTCCGTCGACTCCACTTTAGCAATTGCACTGGTGTTTTGATTTCCAGGCCGTGCCGCTAACCCCATCCGCCTCTTCCTTACGCAGGCAATGCATATTCTGCCTCGATGTCATCTCCTCTCTTGTCTGCAAGCAAGTCTCTGTTAGCTACAAAACGAGCTTTTGGTGCATCTGGATATTATCTCGGTGGCTGGTTGCACTGTAGTTGCATTTTAAAGACGACGCCTGTGTGACATTTGAAGCTGCACAGATATTTACCTTTGGATGTGGATGCAGTGGAAATTACCAAAAGCGAGGTCACAGAGTTAGGGATTGTAGCTATATGTCCCTTGCCAATTACACGATCCATTTTGACGGCGAAAATGAGGTGAATTTGGATATAGGGAAGGTGAAAACACTTTCAAGCATGACTTGAATTGTAAAAATCCAAGCTGCTTTCGAGCAAACATTTTCGCCTTTATGCTCTCCACTATGCCTATGGAGAGGCAAATGAGAAAGTTAAACAGTGTGGAAATATATGACGGAAGCGTAAAAAAAGGGTCGTAGCAATTCAAATTTTCAAATGCGACGTCGGCCTTCAAAGTGGTGCAATTATGCATTAAAACGGCACAAAGATTTGACGATTTTACCATTTCCGGGATAAACCTAACCAAGTGGCAATAGATAAAACATAATCGAGATTGAAAACCTGCTGATGAGGGTACCCAAACTAACTTCATTTTGGACGGAGTGTATAAATTGGGGCCAGAACCCACAAAACAGGATTTTCGGCTGCAGTCTCTCGTCTAAGGCTAGTCCTAAACTGGATCGGTGATTCCTTCACCTAAACTTGATTGCTGCAGTAGCGCCACCCCTGCACAGCACGCAGCCATCGGCACGAGTCCTCTCCTGATGGAGGATGATGAAATCGTTCTTGGGAACCATCTAAGATGCAAAATGTATGTTTGGTTACCCTCTTATAAGGCTGATCTTAAAACACCTATTGGACAGTGACTTGAGGACCTATTCTTACAAACCTGCATTTCTCAGCTCCAGTAAATATCGTCAAATGGACACATCTAAGCATATGTTGCTAGCTCTCATGTCTACAGTCTAGAGTAAGCAGCTTTGAAGCGCACTGCCTTAAGATGGCTGACGGTTAGTGGCACGTCACTTGTTAATAACATTCCTGTAGAACACGGAACTTATAGCAGGTGCTAGGCGTCGTCACTAATTCTCTCACCTGCAGCATTTGCCTTTCTTTTGTCATATTACGATTAATCATTCAGTGTTAGAACTCAGGATAGGTGTCCTTTATCCTCAGAAGCACTTTCCAGTGCCATCAGTGTAGTTTCGGAGACCTCCCTGTTGACGAAAGAGGGCGTAGTACTTGGACAGAATATGACTTTTTGACTTTTGGAGGAGTTTTTGGCTACTGATATGGTTCAGAGGAATTGTAGCTATGCGAAACGCAATGACCGCATACTTCCGTGCTCTCGTAACCAAAACAAAGTGTTGAGTAAAAGATCTCAGCACCATACAAACACTTCGTCAAATTCACGTCTTATGGGACGTCGATTCTGTGCACTCATGCATCGTGACCTCGTAACAGTTTCAGGTGGCACGAACATTAAAACGTTATAAAGTCCTCCAAGAAGCTTATTGCTGATGGGTACTACTAAATAGCTTCCATTCCGGACGCGATTTATCAATTGTGGCAGCAATCCACGAAACAACATTTATTCCCAACGCTTTTCTTCTGCACAACTCACCTCAGCCAGGATTCAATCAGATGCCTGGCTAATGACTTCCACCCGGAAATATGATCGTCGGTTCAACTGTTCTTCGCTGCTATAATAACTGGAGCTGTTTCACTGAACCCGTTTATTCCAATAGTGGGAAAAAAGAAGTTTTAAATCCATAGTTGGTTTTCTTGCCACTCAAACAAGTGAGGACATTTGCACAGATGTTGCGCTTCTGGACTTTTATGAAGTATAAGGTATGCATGACACTATGTCAGAATAAGTATTGTTATGCTACTTCAGAGAGGACGATTGTCGAGCTTTAAGTGGCCGCGAATGTAAAATAAAGCGGTAAGCGAATAAGCAGAGAATTACACAGTCCTTCTCCCAATTGAGTACCAAGTCTACAGAGTCCAATCCTTGAACTCTCGACTCCGCCACCTGAATGCGGTTGGTGCCAATAACAACCTCAAATCACAAGAACTAGTGGCGTCAGTCATAGAACTGAGAAGATCCTTGACCGCTGCCATATCTGGAATCTCATCCTGTACGGACACTATTTTGTTGGACAGGCAAAAATATGCTGGCTGTCTGGTAGGTCCATCAATTGTTGCAGGAACACTGGCCTGAATGCAGAGTCAATAAATAAGGAATGGATTTTGAAAGGGTGGTGTGGAAATAAGGTTCATCATATGCTCCGCCTTACCACTTTGATCCAGCATCAGTGCTGCCTATCACCAACTATGTGGGTTCCACTTAGCTAAAAGAGTGGTTGGGATAGCTCTGTAACGACCTTTTCCAGATATTATGCTGCCACGACTAGTGTTGCTTCAGTTGGTAACAGTGTATCTGCAGAACAGTGGGCTATCGTAGTTGCCCTTACTTCCCCAACGACTGTTTCGATTTGTTGTTTTGTTCTCACTGGATTTTTGTCCATCCATATCTGCATAATTGTCATCTCTTGACAGGTGCAGTATACGGCTGTGTAACATGCTATTTCAGATGGTCCACAGCTGGTTTTGACGCAGTTGTATAAACATGCCTACAGAACACAGGACCGTGGTAGTGGCCAATTATCGGCACCATTATCAACCCTTCTGCTATGGATTCTACAAACCTCTACATCTTCAGCATACGCTCTTCTTCTGTCACGCTAGGGCATAGCATTCAGGAATGGAATCAGGACAAGGGTCGTTTGGATGTGCTTGCTTGCCAGCAATAGCAGTTCTTCGCATTGGTGCAGAGAACCTTGCATTGCCGTTACTAAACCTTCCGTATGTCAAACAAGTATTGCAGCCATTTCACTTCAAATGACTAGGCATATTCCGCATCCGATTCTCTGTCGAGGAGGTGGAATCTGTGATGACCATTAGTAATTAGCTGAATCATTAAATTCTCATAAAGGAGTCGAGCTGCAGCACCTTTTATGCCTGCATGCCGTAATTACTGCGAAACTATAAAAACAAATATCATTGCGTGTCTAGCTCGTAACAAAACGATTTCAGCACTTCAAAATTGAGTGTTGCACAATTTTCAGGAGGATATTGCCCAAAAATTGCAGCAACGAGTCCCAAGCTTTAGGTGTGTGGCCCTCAAACAAACAACACGAGCATTGATACGGTTATTCCAACCTTCCACTTACAAGCATTTCTATGGATTAATACTGTGGACAAAGGTGAGGAATTTACACTAGACCAACA